TTTTGTCTTAATTTTGAAAATATTTAGGTATTTTTGTTAATAATTATACGATATTGTAATATAAAACATTATGGAACAATCAATTCATTGTGAATCAGGCAAAGTAACATTTAACTACGCCATGCACTTATTGCTCAAATAATTCATTAAATAAATTGTTATTAAAATAAATCATAAATTATTGAACTTATTGCTAAAATTAACCTATGTTACGGAAAACTAATTGGTTTATAAATATTTATTTATTTAAAATTAGATAGTAATTAACGTTTCACTAAAGCTGCCATTTACAAAAGTAGTGATATTTGAAATAAAATTTAAATCTAAAAATTGACTTTTCTGAAGTCACAGTACGACTTCAAAGTAAATAAATACGTTGAAATAAACAAAAATCCAATAATAATATCTAGTTCAAGGAAGCAAAAGAAGATTTTTAACACGTTTCAATTAATGTTTGTCATACTGAATTTAATAGCTGATTACCAGTATTGCAATCTCCACGCTTGTATTTATTAACTTGTTTCCTCTTTCCTAATACAGGCACGACGCCTTAGGTGTCCTGAACTTTCCATAACCGTTTTATCTGTTGTTAGATATTTTAAATATTTATTTTGCTAAAAGAAAGAATTACACATTTGTCCTACTAACAAAAAGACATTAGATTTTTTCTAAAATAATATTTAGAGCACACAAAGGGTTTTCAATTTTGTATTGATTAAATGCTTCGGGTTTAGAGAGTCAGAGTTTGAAGAATTGAAGTTGACTGAAAATTTAAGTTGGTTCAAAGGATAGAATGTATTATAGTTAGAATGATATAGTTTAGAGAGAAGTGAGTAGAAATTAAAACTTTAATGTGTGTTTTTAGGATAGAAGAACTGTAACTTAAAATATAGTTATCGGCATGAAGATCAGCAAAAACACTTTAATTTCACATGCTGAAAATAGTTTTTCTTTCTGAACTTTATTTTTTAATTATTAAGTCGTATAATAAGAGAGCGTAGGTGAACGAAGACTAACTATGACATATATAGTTCGAGCTTTGAGAGAAGATTATGCTGAATTTCAGTAATGAGACATTTCTGACACTAGTTTTTCTTCAGACAGGAATTTCTGATAGGATAAACGTGACGAAATTGCAGTTTGAACTGAGAAACTGTTGGGGATATATGGTTTTAGATAAAATATGGCCTTAATAAACAGGTAGAACTCTGGAAATGTTTGTGCATGTGTGAGTAAATTTGCTCTTTTTTAAAAAGTTAAGAAAAACCAATGGCCTTTCACAAAATAAAAATTAGTTAAAATGGTTCCGAACAGGGCAAGAAGATTTTCATTTGTTACCCTGACCATTTCCAAAACAAACAAAAAATAGCTGTTAGGGATTCACTCATATAAAATATTAATTTCTTCTACGTTCGTGTTTGGAAACTACGCTTAGAGAATTGAAGTATTATTTATTAGTAGAATACTTCAAAAAGTAAAAGAGAAAATATCATCAGACCCGTATTTTAACAGTACAATACTTCTTTCAATTAAATATATCACACATGACTGAAGTTTTCTATGTTGTTAAGTAACAATACTAACAGGCGTTCATGAATAAAGCTTAAAAGATTACTTTTTTCATCATAAACATTGCATTATACGTCAATTTCATTCGCACTTTTATCTTTTATTTATAAATGATATTATTTTACGTTAAGTATAAAACATTTTGATCGCATTATTTTCTATACCTTATACAGTTTTTTTCGTGTTGAGAGCTGTTCGGTAAGAATTCAACCTAATGATTAAAACAATTTTAATTATAAATATTTTTAGAACTTCTAATCGAGACACTAAATTATGTTAAAATTCTCTCACCCAGACTGTAAATTACATTATAATATTAATTTTCTAGAGGGCATGCCCCAGACCTTCCCTAGATTATACTGCCTTTGGCAGTATGTGAGCTGCTCTTAGCAGCACCTTATATTTTCAATATCTCACCAATCTGCTACCTCTTGTTTTGAGAAAAATCTCGAAAGTTGTAACGCGAAGTAATATTTCTTATATATGACTAATCTTTCTCGGTGTCCTTTGGTTACAGAGTCGAATTAAATGTACTGGGTATAAGCAGGGCTGGCCCTAGGGTTGCTGGCGCCCCGGGCAAGCCGAACTTCGGCGTCCTTACAAGTATAATTTTTAAAACTTTTCACAAGGAGGAAAAACTACAAATGTATAAATATAGAATTTATTATAATATATTGTACAAATTAAAGAAAACAGTTCAAACACAGCAACAAAGTTTCAAATACTTTCATTAATATAACTGGGAGAGAGAGACCGTATCTACATTACTGGCAATGATCTCCACCCATTTTTGTTACATTTACAAACAAACACTAAGTGGAAATGGAGGAGTTATGGTATCTAGTTTTCACTTGCAAACACAAAAACGAAGCATTCAAATCGGTACAGAATCTGAACAAATTGTACTATATCCCGTCAAGTTCATGATGATAAAAACTGTAGATGTAACCAATTTTCTACTGATAAATTAAAGAATATGAGAAAAAAACCAGGTGCTGAAAAACAAACATCATCCTAACTAAAACATTTTTTTCTTGACTTTAGATCTGCATTGATTATTTCATTCTGAACATTTTTGTCACAATAATGAATGTGAGTTTCTTTAGACACAACCCGACGTAAATGTTCGTTCATAGTCAGATCAAATTTTCCAAGCATTTCAACAAGACCTAAAAAATGCCCATTGTGCGGTGTAAATAATGTGTCTGAAGTTCCCCTGAAAGCCAAATTGTTTTCAGCTAAATACAGAGTGATGCTCATTAAACGTTCCAAAACTTTACACCAATGCTCTCGTTCCTTTTCCACACGTGACTGTATCTCCTTATCAATAGTTTTATTAATCTGCAATCGCAGTGATGTCTCAAACCACTTCTTAAGACATTCCAGATGATGTACTGAATTTTCATGTGATTGCAAATATTCACGAGCATGCTTCAAGTCATTAATTTCAGATTTTCCTAAAAATGACTTATTTGTCAAGCCAAAAATTTTGCAACAAAAACAACAACTTTTATTGCTGCTCTCTGAATAAACAAGCCACCTTCTAAGAAAATTTTCACCGTTGTTAATTTTCCTATACATCATTGTCACGGAGAAACTACGTTTGTCTGAATTTTTTGGGGGAAAACTGTACTGTTTATTCATAGGATGTGGTCCGTTCATAATGATGTGATCAGTTTCCGCTGCTGGATCATAGTAGTTGACATTTCTTTTGGGGAAGTTTTCAAATTTAGTTTTAAAATCCTCAGAATTCCCTGCTATGACATTATTGCCCAAGTCTTCAACAATATTGCAAATGCGATCGTGATGTTTTGATTTATGCGCGCAATCGTTCTTTCCTTCAGAAGGTTCCGTATCTTCAGTTGGTTTGACTTCACAAACATTTGATGACAAATCTAGAGAGATAGATCTAACTGAAGAAGTTGAGCCTGCATTGTTCCCACTGTTAGACTTGGGACTGAAAAAACTTGATAGCTTTTGGTGTTTCTTGGCTGCTTTTTCTTGTTGAAGACGCCTTTTTCTGTTTTCATGGCCTGCTAATTTTTTGGAGGCATTTGCAATCTAGGAAAAAAAAAAAGAGTCAAAAAATCTAAAATGGAATATATATATGTACACTCTGGGTCACGCAATAAGCATCCACGCTTAGCTTTCCAAATTCAAGTTACAATACACTTACGCAACTGACTATAGTTTATCATATCTGATGATTGCAAAATAACTTAAGAAGAGCCAGATAAACATAAAAATTATAAAATAACTGCCCTGATTTACCTGTAATTCAGTTTTTCTTTGTCAGTTGTTTTTCACAGTTTGATGATGATCACCGTAACGGAAAGAATTGTATTTAAACGTACAGAATTAAATGATGAGTCGTTCAAATTTAGAGGTCACAAACCCCACAAACCAGGAAGTCAACCAACGCAGCGCACTCTTCCGCAGACACGGCAACACTGCTGCTGGCCGGCCGCATTTGCTCCAGGCCAGTTCTCGCCGTATAAGCTGTTGAAATGATCTTACTGGAATTCAGTAAAAATGGAATTGTAAAAAAATTATCATAATTTTTGTAAAATATAATGCTGAAAGCTTCATAATACAAAAATGTTTTAAAGTTATTTTAAATGTTTTTTAAATCTAAAGAACAATACATTAATTAATATAAAAAATAAGAATGATGATGCAGAAAAAAATATTAGAGCATAACCTTAGATGGCTATTACAAGCAGAAAATTGTTTTCCTTCTTTGTCTGCATTTGTTTAAATCTAATGAAATATATCCAAAGGTGGCAGCACCATCTGACTCGTAAGAAACTACCTGTCTGATCAGTTTTAATATTCTTACAATTAAAATTATTCCAATGAGGTAACTTTTTCAACATTTTAGTCTTTAAAAGACTGATGTATATTGAGAATAATTTTTAACCAGTTTTACAATTGCCATTTTAGAATGTGGTGCTAGAGTTACTTATAATAATTTTGTCAATTTATTTCTTAATATAACAAGAAGTTATTGGTGTTTAAACAAGTTTTAAGAAATATGGGTTAAGAAACTCGTGTCTTTTAAAGAATATTGAATTAGCACTGCGATGCTCATTAGTTTATATCCTAAAACAACTGTTATTTCGGTGTCACATGCGTGTGAACAAAGTTTAGGCAAATTTGGCAAAATTCAATTAATGTAACAACATGTTTTATATTTCAGAGACAAACTGAATATTTTCAAGAATACAAATAAAATGATTTGTTAAAGTTTGATACATAATATTTTCTAACACCTAATAATAAATAATAACGACTGATCACTAATTTTACGTTTAACACAAATAAACACAAGATATAAGGTATTTACCTCGTATGTTTAATCCTCACGTTGGACATTAAAGTTTAAGTGTCTGGACGAATTAATGAGCGTGATCTCTCCTGCTGTTTATTTCCCTTGACCTAGTTCAAGCAGCAATTACGGTTTATTTGTTTGTTTCAGAATTTTGAACTGATTGATTAAATGTAAAGCAGATAGTCAACAGCACCCACCATCAAGTATCCGAATAGTACGATTTGATGGTCATTATTATATTCTTCCCACGGCCTAAAAGTGTGGAACGCGTTTTGCAGGAACGAGTCGTGAACGAGGAATATTCAGATTCACATCCAACTATACTAACCACTAGGCCACACTTGATCTAGTAGCAGTTAGTGTTTATGAAATTAAAATTGACTTATGACATTTCACTTACGAGGCTATCAGCGATTTGTGAGAGTTTCGGTTAAAAGACGTGAAGAACAAAACAAAATATTTGTTTTTGTTAACTTTTGTGTATTTTTTGTGAGGCTAATTTTAATTTGTATGTTTTTGTTTGGTAAACATATATTTATTTATATAGTTAACTACGTTACTCTATTGTGAATATTAATACTTTTAAAAGTTCATGATATAAAATATTTTGTACGCTTTGATCTAACTGAGCTATGTGATACTCTCATTAGTAGATGATTAATAACCATTGTAGCTCAAGGAGAAGGGAAAACAGTTTTTTGAGAATATTTGTTGGTATTTTTCTTAACCAAGTACGAGGATATTTTGTGAAATGAGGCAGCATTAAAGATAGAAGTAAAAGACTTTTCAACTTCATAAGTGTAGTTCCAAAATATTTTACTACTATATAGTCATTTTTATCTTAGTTTATGTTTTAACAAACCGATATCTATGTTATCTCCTTTTAGTTTTCTAAATAAACCTGTGGGATATATAAATAAAAAGATATTCTGTGGTGTATCTGTCAGGTTTATACGCATGGGTGGACGAGATTCTTTACAACAGGTGTCTATGACTTGTTGGCGATAAATTTAAACAATAAACAAACAGCACACAGTCCACTTATTTTAAAATAATATATATTACAACAAGTCAAACGTATATATAAATGTTCGCTACACAGTTAGTCATCAGAGCTGTATCCAGAGCTTTAAGTAATCGTCTCTTCTCGTCAAAGTCCACACAGCCTGATTCAGTTACTTTAGAACACAATTGACAAGACGAATTATTCTGCTCTGTTATTACAATACAATCAGTGATAAGTTCACTTTAGTTACACTGTTGGTTACTACAGTTGTATCCAAAACTATAAATAATTGTCTCTTTTCGTCCAAAATCTACACAGGTATGTTCAATAACATTAGAACACAATTGACAAGACAAATTATTTTTCTCTACTCTGTCATTAAAATACAATCTTTGATAATTTCACTTTAAAAATCGCCACTTTACGTTCTCTATGACTAAACTAACAGTCTAGAACTATCTAACTATATCTCTCACTAACTTACTTGAACTATCTTTTGGACGCGCATTTATAAATAGTCCAACTGAGTCCTAGAATTTTCTACACACTACGAGATATTATGATGTAATAGTACTCGAGTAAAAACCTAGAATCGCCAATTTACGACAACTGAACTACACAAGGTATGATTCGCACAGTTACGGAAATAAACCTGCGATAAACTATTGCTTCTAAAAATAACTAAATTTAACACTCGCACTATACTTAACTTAAAACAGTCTTGTATGTCTAACAGTATCATTAAGTACAGTAGTACTAATAGTAGGAATCGTGATATAAAAAATGGCGGCCATACAAATTGGCCGTTTAAAACCACGTATAAAATGTCTGAATATCAACAATAACTATTTCACAGTATTGGCTGAGAAAAACTAAAACTTATTGTACTTATATAGGCACCTAAATCGCTATACACGTGTTTATGGAGTAAATCAAATTTTCACTATTTTAACAAATTTTTATTTAAGTAAGTAAGTGACTTTTCTAGACAAGCGTACAGAAAATTTGTTTGTTTGTTTTTTAATTTCGCGCAAAGCTACACGAGGGCTATCTGCGCTAGCCGTCCCTAATTTAGCAGTGTAAGACTAGAGGGAAGGCAGCTAATCATCACCACCCACCGCCAACTCTTGGGCTACTCTTTTACCAACGAATAGTGGGATTGATCATCACATTATAACGCCCTCACGGCTGAAAGGGCGAGTATTTTTGGTGTGACGGGGATTCGAACCCGCGACCCTCAGATTACGAGTCGAGTGTCCTAACCACCTAGCCATGCCGAGCCTCCGCGTACAGAAAACATGACGAACCTTATCGCTCTAATTCTTGTATAGAACTCTTCTGTCTGGGATCCCAACGATTATTTTCTTGTACCGGAAAGGATACTAGTATTTTAAGTAGGGTAGTACTTAATAGTAGGGATCGACATGGATTCCAAATAATTCCCACGCCGAAAAAACACTCTATCGAATTCCTTAGCGAAAACCAGACCTTCCAAAGTATTGGTTACGATATATTATGGGCATACATAATAAAAATACGCTAAAAAGGTCGTAACATTTCCGGTATAACAATTCAAAAATTTCTAAACCAGCAACTTTTTCGTCTACTACCTACCTACCTGATCACGTAAGCGGGGCTAGCGAAATGTCTGCGGACTTACAACGCTAGAAACCGGGTTTCGATACCCGTGGTGGGCAGAGCACAGATAGCCCTTGTGTAGCTTTGTGCATAATTTAAAAACAAACAAAACAAAACCTACCTACCTGATCACGTAAGCGGGGCTAGCGCCCAGATAACTCGAACAATTGTTACAAGATTTCTCCAGCTTACTTGACTAATTGTGGGTATCCGCCTTTGATATTCCGATAAAAGTCCATACACACATATATATATATATATACAGGTATAATAAATGGGAAAAAATTAAGAAAAGTAGGGATTGTTGATTATTCGTAGAATTGCTATAAGAAGTATCCAAAACAAACTAAATGCTGCAATAAAAGTACAGAAACAAGTAAGGTGATACTAGTTGGATAGATTTTAAAACTTTTTACAATCCATTATTTGGTTGGCGTTGCGATTCGCATAGCTAAATGAAGCAGTCTAAATTTGCGTTAAAAATTAAAAAACAAAATTAAAAAAACAGAGGAAACCTTTGCGTAAAATTTCGGAAGTTCAAAAATAGCATTCTAGACATCAATATAATATTTACCGTAAGTTGTTGTTGTTTTTGAAGTTAAGCACAAAGCTACACAATAGGCTATCTGTGCTCTGCCCACCACGGGTATCGAAACCCGGATTCTAGCGTTGTAAGTCCACAGACATACCGCTGTGCTACTGGGGGGCTTTTACGGTAAACACTTAGTACAAATGTTTCGACTCATTTTTACGAACTTTAGGCGTGAGAAGCTGAGATACTGCTTTCATTAAATTTCCCAAATATGTATTTAATATTTAGAACACTCGAAAAAACGCGCACACAAATACACGAAGTATTTAGTCTACGAATACTCATTCTTTGTAATGAGTAATAATCAAAAATTAACATTAGAAAATATTCGCCGAAGTCCTGTAACAACGAAAGTTATGGATTTTCATTATGATCTCTATTTCTGAGATTGATGTACTGTTCACTCTTTAGTGAGGATTGTTTGTTTGTTTTGTTTTTGAATTTCGCGCAAAGCTACACGAGGGC